AACAGGCTGGAGAAGGGGGCTGAACGGAACCTTTTGAAGTTAAACACAGCAGGCAAATGCTCCTTCGAAGAAATAATCCCAGGCACCAAAACAGGCTGGGGACCAACCAGCTGGGAAGGTGCTTGTCAGAAGAGGCACTGTAGGTCCCAGTGGACACCAAATTGAACATGAGTCAGCAATGTGCCCTTGCAGCAAAGGCAGCCAGCAACACCCTCAACAAGTATTAAAGAGAGTGCTTCCAGCAACTCAAGAGTGGTGATCCTTCCCATCTACTCAGCCCTCATAAGACACATTTGGGGTGCTAGGTCCAGCTCTTGGCTCTCCAGACCAAGACAGACATGAAAATACTCGAGTGAGTCAGTGAAGGTCCACAAAGATGATGAAGGGACTGGAGGATCTGTGATATGAGGAGAGGCTGCCTGGTGAGGAGGTGGCTCAGGAGGAATCTATCCATGTATATGGATACCTTGCAGGGGGGAGTAAAGACAGTGACTTCTCATTGGTGTCCAGTGACAGGTCAGGAGGCTACGGGGTGTAAACTGAAATACAGGAAATTCTATTTAGATGTAAGAAAACACTTTTTTACTGCAAGGTTGGTCATGCTGAACCAAGTTGTCCAGAGAGGTTGTGGAGTCTCCATCCTTGGAGATAGTCCAGACTCTACTGTACATGGTCATGAGCAGCCTCTTCTGGTTGACCCTGCTTTGAGCAGGGGAGTTAAACTAGTCAGTCTCCCAGGGTGTCTGACAGACTCCACAGCTGTGGTTCTGTGATTTGGAGAAGGAAAATGTCACCTCTGTGGAAGAGGAAAAAAGCTGGTTTTGTAAAGTTTATTAAAATGAGTGTTTAAATTTCTGCTCTAATAGAAATCATTGCTATATTCAGATGTTTCAGAGTTCTGGAGTTCTCACAGAATCACAATATATTATAACTGCATAATATGTCAGATGCATAACGAGAGATGTATAGAATTATTTTGTAGAATCATTCACGTTGGAATAGACCCTTAAGATCATGGAGTTCAACTATTAACCTAACCAAGTCCACCTCTAAACCATGTCCCTAAGCACCATGTCTACGTGTCTTTTAAATACCTTCAGGGGTGGTGACTCAACCACTTCCCTGGACAGCCTGCTCCAATGCTTGACAACCCTTTCAGTGAATAAATTTTTCCTAATTTCTCCTAAAAGTATGTTTTTCTGTTTGTTTAACGAAGACTAAAGTTGATGATGTCTCTGACAGAAACTTTTTATTAATTAGTATCAGAATACTACACCTTCTTATTACATGGGTAGTCATTCAAATTCAAAAGCAAAAATCCTACTAGTGAAGAAATAGCTATACTTAATTTTACAAACTTGACAGTTTGGAATTGTGTGTGTGTATGTATTTATATATTTAGTGTGCTTTGGTTTTAGGCATGAAACTTGGAAACTGAAATACGTTTTGAAAGCAGTGGTAGTTTTCTCTTCCTTTGTCTCTTGTGCTGCCTCTGTACTCATTGTGTCTGGTGAATAATGGTTTCACCAGCTTGCAAGGAATCCTTTTCAAAGAAGTTATGGTAGTTTTTTTACTATGCAGTAAATGATACTGCTTTGTTTTAAGGAGTTCACTCACTCTCAAATTATCCTATCAGGTGTAAGATTCAACAGATCTAGGATTTAGATTGTGCATTCCAGGTGTTGCTGTGGAGACCTCATACTTGATCCAAATAGTTTTATGACATTAATATGCTTTTTTTCAGAAAATTATTCTTATTAAATTACTGTGTGTTTAAAGGAAGATTTAGAAAATAAAAGCTGTGAATGATTGGGTTTTGATTAATATTTAAATAAGTTAATTAAAATTCACAGAATTGTGTAGAGAAAGCAAAGTCAAAGAATGCTAAGTTTCAACTGAGATATTTGTTTGAAACAGTGCAGGAAAGCATCACTTTGAAATGTCTTGCTTTTTTTTGTGAAAATGCATGTTCATAAATTTGAAGCGTGTGCAGGTATATTCACACTAATAATAAACACAGCAATAAATACAACAGTAATTGGAGAATCTTTCTCAATAAAAACTACATATTAATGCTAGAATAATGATACAAAGAGAAATTAAGTAATTTTGACAAAATTTGGTATTGTCACATTTTAGATGCTCTGAGGGAGAGTAACAGGAAATTTTATTAATGAGGAAGCATTTTGCAAAGATCTCTTTTATTGCTATAACTGAGCCAGTAAAAATATTAATACAAGACAAGTGTCAACTCTGAAGCTCATTTTCCTTTTCTTGTGGTAGGTAAAAGCAGCAACAGGTGAAGAGGTATCAGCAGAGGATCTTGGAGGGGCAGATCTTCACTGCAGGTTTAAAGAAGTATTTTCCCACAGTTAATTTCTCCCATCCTTTAGACTTTAGTAGGATAAATTTTATTTTATAAATTTATATTTAGATCTTTTTTAAAACTGTATTTAGATTTTGATAATTAAGATTTTCTATATCCTTATCTGGTGATTATGAATCATTTTATTGTTAGAGTAGCATAGTTACCTTACGTTTCTATAATTAGGATCTTGATTTCTTCATTTACTACTTTAAAATATTTACATGTCTAATGTACTGCAGCATCACAAATAGTATGTCCGATACTGTTTAGTACCGAACATTAATAGAATAAAACACATTGAGAAAGTATATTTTGCAGATTGTGTCTTTCTTACTGTCAGAACTTACTGCAAACAAGATGAAAATAGCTTGTAACTTTTGTAAGTGAATCCTTATAAAAACAAAGAGTTCTACACACTTTTGAGTTTTAAAATGAAAAGAATAGTAAACAAAGTCAGGTATTACTGTACAGTAAGTTAAGCATTACTGTACAATAAATGCTTAATTTTTACTTCAAAGTACTGAAGTGAATATTTTTAAGGGCAGTTCATAACTAAGTCTTAAAAATTTTTAGAACCTTGAATTTTCATTGTTAGGGTTTGGGGTTTTTTTTAAGTCTTCATATTGCTGTTTTTATTCACATACAGAAAATCTGGTGTAACAGATCATTATGCTTTGGATGACAATCATGCACTTCATCTAGCAAGGAAAGCTGTAAGAAGTTTAAATCTCCAAAAGAAAGTAGATGTAAGTTTATAGAATCTGAAAACACTGCATTGTTTAAAGTAGAAATGCTTTTCTTTGCCTGATTTACAGAACGCATTTTTGGTCTGTGACTTTAGACACTTTGAAAATTGAAGTTACAGTTCTTGTCCTTAAAGATTTCTCTAATGTTTCAGTTCTGCTCCTGCTGCTTTATTCCCAATAAAATCACTGGGATTACATGCTAGAGTGAAGCAACTAGAACAATGCTTCAGAACCACAGAACTGCACTTTTAAGATGAACCCAGTCTTGCAAGGTCCTTAATTTAATTTTAAGCCCAAATGATCATTCCCATGGATTTAAAATTAGATACCTGCTAAAACTTCTTTTTTAATACATATTTTCTATGATTATTGATTGAAGCTATAAAACTGAGGGGATAGACCTAAATCATGTTGTTGTACTGTATTGATTTAAAAATTCCTTGTAGAAAACAGGATGGAAAGCATAGAGGGAAGGGATTGCCTTGATTTATTCTGGCAGGAGATGTGAGTGAGTGAATTGAAGATAAAGCTCAGTAGCTGAAGGAAGGTCACGTGTTCTATTCAGTTGCGTGGCAAAAACATTAATTGCTTTTTTAGAATACTACCTGCCTAATAGGGCAGAGGGGGAAGTAAGCAAATGGGAGGACTTGCTTAATTTTTTATAACATGGAAGAAGTGGAGCACATACAGAAGTATACACAGGAGTAGAAACAAAGGTACCAGTAAATGAGAAAGTGTTACCAACCTTCATTTTAAGAAACTTGATTTTTGTGCACAATGAGGACAAGCCAGTACAGGCATTTTGATGTGGTTGGCAAAGAGAACACTGTGCTCAAAGCAGTTGGCAAATTAATTACTGTTTGGGGTTTTTTTAAGTAATAATGTGGACTAATAATTCCTTTATTGTGTAAATTGTTTTGTTAAATTGCTACAGGTGACTATAGAACCATCGGAAGTTTTTTTCCTGCTGATGAAATATATGGAATAGTTGGCGACCAGCTGAAAAGAAACTTTGATGTCAAAGAGGTATGACTATAAATGCAAGATCCACATGCCCATACATGCATGCACCCAGTTTTCTTGCAGGAAATCACTCTTTATATAGTGGTTTGTCTACAGGAACCTGATTTGGGGTATATGGAGAATATTTACATTTCATAAAATCTCTTAATGTATTTTTTTATATTTTTCCCCAGCAGATCCATTGTAATGGCAATGGTATGTTGAAAATAATAATGCTGTTTGGTTATACTTTTAGGAAGGTTGAGCAAGGAGGAGAGATTGCTAACATTCTGAAAAAGCTGCCAGAATATAGGGTACTTTATGTTGGTAAAGCATTCTACAGACTTGCCGAGCAATGTGATAATTTTATTTTTCTGTTAATTCAGTGAAAGCAAAAGATCAAATATTTTAAAATTTATGGAGTATAAGCACCCCAAACAATTCAGTGCTCTCCTGACCACTCTATTTTACTCTGCTGCAGTTCTAATGTAATTATGTGCCTCAGTACCTTCATCTGATACCGCATTCTTTCCCATATTTTGCATAGATCCCATATTCAGAACCTTTTCACTACAAACAAAGTATTTATTTTAGGAAGAGTCTTAGTATGTACCTTTCTTAAAATACTTTGTCAGGAATTACTAAGATTTGCTTTGCATTAAGGGGAAAATGATAAACATCTTTATTGAGTCTCACACTACACTCTCGAAAGTTGTAAGAGCTTGGATTTATGTTCTTTTAAAGTTGAAATAAATGTCTTCTGGAAAACGTCTTGATAGCAATGGATCTGTATTTATATAAAATGGCTCCTTTGCATCTCAGAGAAACCTCAAAACAGATCTTCATTGTTTTTGTATGTCACAAACTTAAGCATAACTGAAAATAATCTTACCTCTAAGAAAGTGACTCATGACTGTGTTTTTCTCTTTTTAAATGTGAGTCTATTGATTAATGTTTAATATAACCATTTGATATTTAACTAATCAGGAAAACTTTGTTCCTGTATAATTTTAATGGCTTGGTTAGAATATTCTTTATCTTGAAATTCCATTTTTATAAACATGTAGATAAATCACACTTTGTAAAGGAAATGGGCTTTGCCTGCCATCCAGACTGTTTATATACTAGGCTGCTTGATGATCTTTAAGCATTTATTTTATGTTATATAGTAGCATGGTCTTTCTTTCTAAACAAATTAAATCTATGAAGGATTAGGAATTTCATTTTATTTTTCTGTTTTTTCTTCAGGTCATTGCTAGAATTGTAGATGGAAGTAAATTTGATGAATTCAAAGCCTTGTATGGGGATACGTTAATTACAGGTATTTAGAAATTTATTATAATTACTCTGTGTATGTTCGCACTGGTTGTGTAGTTGGATTAATTCTGTTTGGCTCAGCCATTGATATTTTTAATATTTCAGAAGAGTAGCAGTTTCTGTTACGAAGTGTTGCCTTTATATGCTATGGTAAAATAAATACATGTGAAAATTTACAAATCTATCTTTCTTCTTCAGGATTTGCAAGAATATTTGGGTATCCAGTAGGAATTATTGGAAACAATGGAGTTCTTTTCTCAGAGTCAGCAAAAAAGGTAAATAAATAGATTATTAGCTTATTTGCAACTTGCTCTTGAAATTAGGAACTTTTTTAATAATGAAAGTAGACTGTCTCCACATTTTCATGCAATAGCTTAATAAGCTGTAAAAATAATTGACTGTATTTTAGAAATGGTGTTGTGTAGATTTTTCTGATACAAAGTAGATATGTCAATAGGAAAAAATCGTTAGAAAAACAGCATTTGAATTTGTGTGACTACAACGTAGTTGAAATAGTATATCTTGAGACTTAGAGCTATTACAAGAAAAGTCTATGCTGATTGTATGAAATAACCTGTAATTCCTAACCCTAAACTGTGAAATATTAAAATAAATCACATAATTGTTTTTGTAATAAATGGGAAATTTCAAAAGTAGATTCTAGTACCCAGTTTATCGGTTTACCAGAGATTTAATTTTCATGCTTTGCTGCGACAGACCCTGGCTTAGACTAATGAGTGAAAACATGTGCAGTCTCGTAAAATCTGTGAACTGAAATACCTGTTTTGTGAATTGAAAGGGCATCTTTGATAGAATGTTGTGATTGCATTGCAGTTAATAGTGCTTTACAGAATGGGCTTGGGGGATTGGTAGTGATAAAGAGTTTCTGGGTATGGCAGAGTGGTTACTTACCTTATTCTATTTTTGGTTTATTGTATTTTTTCAAGAAACTACTATCAGTTGGATTTTTTGTAATAGCAATTATATATGGTAGTTTTGTTCTAGCAGACTCATCAAACTAATTGTGAGGAAATCAGTATTGAAAATCTATAGGAGAAAGGAAGCCTCCATGAGAGATTTGGGGAAAGGAAGAAATTTTACTTGATTTGATGCTGTAATAAAATAATACACAAAATTGAGTTTCATGTACTTGAAGGAACACTTTCAGTTTGGAGCACTGCAGTTACTGACATTGTTTTTGCCTAGCATTTGTTTTTCCACAGTTATTTCCAAGTTGAAAATAACTCTTCCAGTAGTTCTAACACTTTGAATATTTTTCTGATAGTTTCATGCTGCAACTTTTTTTCCTACCAATTAAAAAAAAAAAAGTAAGGAATCTTCTCATTTTTACTGGCATATCAGTACTGTAAGAGGAGAAGATCAAGTTTCACTTGTTTCACTTCTAGAGAGAACTCTGTCGGTGGTGTCGCTTCTGTAAGCACCATTGTCTAACAAGATTCCTTTTTTTTTCTTTTACATTTTTGTAGTGAGTTGAGATTCATCTTTTTTCCATGATCATCACTGTCCTTTTGGAGCACTTCTCTCTGAAGGAGCTAGCTAAAGATTATGCTCCATGATTTTCTCTTTTGTTTTCTTTTTGTAAATTTTGCTGGTTTTGTATTGTGAAGAGGTTAGGGGTTTTTTTTCAGTTGCTGTGCTACATACTACTTTTTTTTTTTTTTTTTTTTTTAACAGCAGTGTGTAAATAAGCTGACAAACTGTATTGATTTAGACTATTTCTAGTTGAAACAGAAGCTTGGAATCTACTATTTTTATTTTCGCTAGGAAAGTGGTCTTTTCCTAGAAAATGGGGAGAGGGTATCTGCCCTGACAAAAAGGAAAGAGTTTTGAGTGTTACAGCAATTGGCAGGGCCATGAGCAAATAGTATATGTGTGCCTTTCCCAATTTCAGAGAATAATTTTCTTTTGTACAGGAAATGGGGAGATACGTCTTTCTGACTCACTGTCTTAATTTCCATGACACTGTGTTACAAAACTCGATTTCAGATGCTACACTGTGAAGTTGTCTGTGGTTTAACTATATGTTGGCCAAGTCAAAACAATTGAGATTTTTGCTATCAGCAGTAGTGCTTTTTAAGGATATTATTTCTGCTTTACCCTTCATTTCACACATTTTTGGCATTTTCTTACTTCTAGTAGAGTGAATGCATGTTTTGCAGTTGACTGTGGATGAGGCAGAAGTAGCACAGCACTTCATGATTCAAAAACTCCCATGTATTCCCAAGGACTTCAGTGGAAGGAGACTTGTCTCAGACTACAGAGTGCTGGCAGTGATAGCTTTGCTGATCCAACTTTTAATGGCTTACTTTTAATTTTTTTTTCCTTTTTTCCCCACAGGGTACACATTTCATCCAGTTGTGTTGCCAGAGAAATATTCCCATTGTGTTTTTGCAGAATATTACAGGTAAACAAGCTCAATATTTTGAAGTTTCACTATATTGTAGGCTTTGCTGTTAATTGTTGAGGCTATGAGTTTTAGACAGCATCTTGTGTGCTTTGTTGCACCTACATCTCCAGCCTGTTCTGAAATCAGCCTGTCAACAGCTGGTGAAGACCTTGCATTTTGATTTGTTCTTCAGTTTTTTCTGCATGTGCTATAAAACACCAAGTATGACATATAGCACAATATAATAATACAAAGTTAATGAGCCTTTTTTTCATGATTTATTTCTTTAGGTTTCATGGTTGGTAGAGAGTATGAAGCTGGAGGGATAGCAAAAGATGGTGCCAAGATGGTAACTGCTGTAGCTTGTGCCAATGTACCTAAAATAACAGTGATAATCGGTGGTTCTTATGGAGCTGGAAACTATGGCATGTGTGGAAGAGCATATAGGTAAGTGTTACATCAAATTATGACAGGAGATAAGTAAGTTCAGAGAACATAACCTTGAAGTACCATTCTGAAGAACTATCTACATTCTTAAGAAGTTATACTACTTGGAAGAGATAATAGTTCTCAGTGAATACAGTCATAAGTAAATAACAACCTGACAAACCTGTAGAGATTGATAAGCTCATAATTAACCTTGAATTAGATGATGGAGATCTTCCAACATATAAATGTGCTGACATCCTTTTCTCCCATTTTAGCTATTGGAGGAAAAATTGTATAGTCCTAAACAATCATTAGGCAGTATGGGCTAGTCCTTTATTCTGCATTCATATAAAGAGTACCAACTTGTGTTAAAAAAAACCTTATTCACTTCAATAAGCCTGTTTTTATGAGTAATGTTTGCAGAACCCCTAAGGACTTAATTTTTTTGACTCTTTGAATATGGCTCATAAATGTGTTTTTCATTTTTTCAAGGTCCCTGATACTTTTTAAGTTGTTTGTGATATTTTTAAAGGAAAAATTGCTTGGAGGGATGTGAGATTAAGAGGCTCAAGAAAGAGAAAAATAATTTTGTTAGGCACTTGAATATAGGAAATAAGCAGAGTTTTTGTATTTTCAAACTTAATGCTGCAAGCATTCAAGTACATTTTCATTCTTTAAAAACCAATACATTGTTAGGTTGTCATGCATAAAAATGAATTCTTAGCTGAGTGAGAACTAGTTCTTTACTAGACAATAAGAAGATATCTTATTTTAATTTTTTTTTTTTTTTCAGTCCAAGATTTCTTTATGTGTGGCCAAATGCTCGCATATCAGTGATGGGAGGGGAACAAGCTGCAACTGTTCTAGCTACCATAGCTAAGGACCAAAAAGCAAGGGAGGGAAAACAGGTGCATCTTTCTTCTTTCATTTGCAGTAATGTAATTATAATTTACACTGTCACTGGAGTTGCTCACTTTATGAACTAAGAAAGGGTGTTAGAGTGAGACCCCAATGAACTCTCGTTCTCCTGATGCCACCTAGTGCATTGACAAACATGAAGCATTTGTGAATGTTATTGTTTACATCTTCTAAATATAAAGATCATTCATGGCATTTCTTGTCTTTGCTTAGAAAGAGGACTATTTCTCATATCATCATATTTTTGTATTTTGTGCACCAGATTATTAATTCTGCCCCAGATGAGTAGGCAGGGATCCTTCCTGGTTTGGGAGTATGAAGAGGAATACGTGAGAACAAAGTGTCTTTCCAATTATTTTTGACATAGGCAGTTTTCTAGAAAGGCAATCTTCAAATTATTCAGTGACTGACAACCATGAAACTTACAGCAGCAGAAGTCTGCAAGAGGTTTGGAAAAGGTTTTGACTCATTTCAAAATTTTAATTGAAAATTAGTGTATTTTGTTTGATAGTTTTTTCTAGTTTCTCTGTATACTGTTTTCTGCTCTGTTTTTTAAACTACATAGTTTGTTTATATTGGTGCCTTGGTCTCATAAGTTATTTTATTGTGATGTCTTAAAATTGCTTGTATTTATCATGAGTAGTTTTTCAGAATAACAAAGCAGTATGTACGTTACCTCAACAGTTCTTTTTTCCACACTTTACTTGAGCTTTCTGTGGATAGGATATATTTACCCTCATCTCTCTCTGTCTTAATTTCCCAAATCCCTAAGATGGACAGGATGATACCGAGAAAGAAGTTGGAGAAAAATATTTGTAGTTAACATCAATAAAATGTGTTAGAAAATAAAAAAATTTCTGAATTACAATGGTGACCACTCTGGATCACAGAGAGACATGGTGTTACCATAGTACAGACTTGTTTTATTAAAAAAATCTTGCCAAAGGCAACTCAGAACAGGATTTATTCAGTACAGTAGCTTCAGTAATTTTTCACATACTAATCTACAATTATTCTGATTCTCAGTTAAGTATATTTTTACTCTCCTTTTCACACCTAACTGTTTTGAAAGTGGTATTTTAATTTCATTGTCAAATATGCTAAATTGCTAATCATGTGTAGAAAGGAGGAAAACTTTGGGGAGATCATTTAGGCAGTGTCTTCAAGTTTGGTGCTGCATATAAAGTTCTGCTGTCATTGTGGAAGAAAATATTGGATATCTTATCTGTGTTTGTGTATTTGCCTGGTTTTTTTAGTTATCTGAGGCAGATGAAGCAGCTTTGAAGGAGCCAATCATTAGGAGGTTTGAGGAGGAAGGAAACCCTTATTATTCCAGTGCAAGGTAACATTTAAATGACTTTTCCAAAACTTTATTGTAGTCACAGGACATGACAATAACATCTAAATCTTGGTGTTGAAGACAGCAGAACAGAGCAGTCTGGAACAAAGATTTTGTTTGATGTGAACAAGTACAAAACAAGCTCCAAATCAATGTTTTGTCTGTCTTGTCTCTGAGACTTTGTATTATGTGCTGTTTCAGAAGAAGGCATCCACTTGCAGGAACTACTCTGCTGGTTCTTTAAGTAATTATATGGTAATAGGGAGTTCATGTATTTTGTTCTAGGTAAGTTTTCTAACTTTCTCCCCAGTGTAGTATCTGGTCGCCTTTCTAAAGCCCCTTGAACAGTGTAATGAGTGGCTGCATGTGTGTTAGGAACAATTCATTGTAGTGGGGTTCTGCAAGTAGAAGAGGCCAGTAGTAAAGAAGTTACAGGAAGATGTGAAGCTATTTGCAAATTATAGGTCAAGATCTTGCTGGGTGACTATACTGGATAATAGCAGTTTGGATAGGGCATTAGCTGATGGGTGCAGCATATTCATGTTTGTTGAGAAATCCTTTGCAGCATTTTGTCCTCAGGTTAATGGAATATTAGTAGATGCCCAAGAACTAGTTAGGCTAATGAAGCAAGGTGGCATCCTGAAGTGTTACCTCTGGACATGAGCTTAGAGGCTTTCTTGGCCTCTGGTTGTTACTCTACATTAGTTTCATCCCACCTGTACTAATCTTCCTGCACATTTTTCTGCATGTGGTAACCAAAAGCTAGTTCTCCTCAGGCTTTCAACTGCTAATGGTGGTA